CACAACATGATCTACTCGACCACCATAATGGTTACGGCCAAAAAAAAAACCGGAGGTAAAAAAAACAAACGGGACCCTGGTTGCCGAGTTCACGAAGTGAATTGGCTTGTTTTACAACGTCTTTTCCAAGCGACGAAAACCCAACCCCGACGGTAAACACCAGGGGGGGGCTTGTTATACAACGTCGTTGCCAAGCGACGAAAACCCAACCCCGATGGTAAGCACCGGGGGGGGGGGTAGGGGCTACCTTTGTTGTACAAGACATACCCCTCGTCGCGTGTCATTGGGGTGCCTGCCACGCTGCGTGCCATGCACGAGAGCCATGTCTTTACCCCTTGAGATATTGAAAGAGCTCGGCCAGCTGTCAAGGTTGAAAGGAGGTGTAGTTCTTGATCGACGCTTAGAGGCCATCAAAGAACGAATATGTCATTGCTAGCAACTGCCCACGATGTCAGACAGGGAGGCCATCGAGTTGACGCGGGGGTGACGAAAGCTTTCCGACACCTACCTCTTCCTTCGTCGCACCCACCGTTTTTCGAAATTAAGCGTCTGTACCGCTGCTCTTGACAGCTCGCTCCTGTATGTGGAGTACTCGCAACACTGAGCATGAGCTGATTTGGTGAGCTGATAACTCGGCCGTCTCAGGAGCACACCCAAACGTTTTGCGACTACCGTGTGTGTGCATTTAGAGCTACATGTAGACCAGTGCCGTTGGACAAGCACAGTGGAGACGCGGGTGCGGTGGTAGGGTCGTGGGCTTTGCTCCAGGGGAGCGCGCCGTAGAGCAGGATGAGGTCCGGCATTCGAAGAGCGGGGTGAAGGTCGCAATGCAACTAAGACGGGCGTTAGTAGATAGGACGGGGAGGGCAATCACGCCGCGAGTGACTCTAACTGGTTCAACGTGTCTGCTCAAACGCAACATTATTTCAGGCGATACCGCGTCTGTATTTAACTTGATTCCAGAGGTTTCTGTTGAGCGACGTTCAGATATATATATATATATATATTACTCTGTTTTTTGCATATGAACACGCTGCTCTCAAGTGTCAGGCTGAATCTGGGGCCCTCGGCGTAGAAATATGTACAAGAACCCCGTGTACCATACGGATATGCCTGCTCGAAATATGAACTTAGAAACTAAGAACAGGTGCTCAATTTGAGGCAGCCAACAAGCATCGAGCCTTGGCCAATATATGCGGTTCTTTATTAAGTGCGGGCGCTACCTGTATCACGTAACGGGCTACAAGTGAAGAGGAGTGTTAGGTACATATACACTAATCATCACAGGTGTTGCCACTTTTTGGGAACAAGCCATGATGTATCTGGTTTATGCAGTAGTCTATGCTGTACACCCCTCCATTGTGCAGTTTGTAATAGAGTTTTGACCACAAACAACCATCCATCCATGTCGTCTGTAGGCCCCAACCCTCGGCAAACCTTTGCTTTTGAAAACACCTGGAATATCTACGATGGCACAGAAAATAGATCTACTGTGCCGCTCGCTTTCTGAACGACGAACCTGTCCGGACGTACGTCCGAATGTCAATGCACCCGTGGATCATGGGAGCCTGCCATCCGTAGCCAAAAAAGCAGAGACACTACGTACACACTGGTAACGGCTGAGTCCTTGTAGTCTAGACGACGGACTCCTACAGTCGTCCTCATGCCGACGCGTAGTATCTCCAATTGGAGATCACTACCCACGTAGCTCCTTGATAGATGTATCTCACCCCTCATGTAGCACGAACTCGCTCGTGAACATGGAGAAGGGCTGCTGCTGTTGTCTACTGCTGGACATACTCGCTCGCCGCCCATTTCAGGATCGCGACCTTACTGTATGCACATTTTTTCATGATGTCGACCCCGATAGTCTATTGTATGCATACGCTCTCTCTCTACGTAGTAGCGCGCGCGAGAACCTGAGAGATGCCCAGAATTGTGGAGGGCGCGCCTAGTTTTCTACTGCCATGAGCAAAAATATTCGGACATGCCCCTCCCACGTGACCGTACTCGACCCTCCGATGGACAAACGACGACCAACGCTCGGATAAAAAAAAGAGCGGCGAGCAAGGTTTTGAAAATTGTTCTGAATGCGGCGAATCCTCTCTCCCCAGCAACCTCGGGGCCAGTGGGCCAGTTGGCCAGTTTATTTGAGTGCACGTTTAGGGTAAGTTAATTAACCTGTGACGACGGGAATCGACCGCGTCGAGTGTTGGATCAGTACAAACATACGAAGGTACTGGGTAGAGAGAGATCAGAACGGGTTTTAATGTGAAGATAACAACAACAACAGGTTCGCGAGCAGGCAACGATCTGGTGCACGACAGCGCCTTCATCCCCAGGCACATACGGCACTTCTTGCTGCTCGTCCTTCAACAATCTGGTCCGTAATAGCTTCCGCGAGCCACGCCACCTTGTCCAACCCCGCACGCGCCGAGGTGGGAGCTAGCGCTGCTGCTTCCTCCCATCAGCCGACGACAGCACCGCTGCCGTTGGTCGGGGGGTGTTTACATAGGTGATCCTCGACACGCGACACGCACTACTTGCTGGTGCCCTTGCCAGCAGGCGGTTGGCACACACACACGGTCGATGCGCAGGCACACACGAGAAGGGACGGAGCGATCCCCTGACCATGATGGGTGGGCCGCGTGGGGACATCGATCACGCTGCCGTTGCAGAAGCAGCCGCGGCCCGATCCAGCTCTCCAGGGGTACCGGGGTTGCCTTGGGAGACCTTCGCGGGATACTCGAGGTGGGTCATTTGGAAGATTGCTGCTGCTGGTGTTTGCGGCGTGTTACGGTCGTGTGGTGAGCATCTGCGGCGGTGTGCGCTTTAGTAAAAGCCTGTGGGCGCCCGCCGTGTCGGCTGCTGCTGCTTCGCCTCGATGTTCGATGGCGATGCAGAAATATGCACTCAATGATAGCACTGGGCCGCCTGCCTTGAGCGCTTGCACCAGCAGCTTTCACCACATATGATGCACACCGATGAACGTGGGCCACCCCCGTCTCGCCATATGTTCCTTATGTACATGGACAGAGACGGGGTTGTACAAGTAGTTCACACACCATCGAAGGATACATATGCGTACCCCCCTCGAGACAGCGCTCCGCAAGCCTTCGTGAGCGAAAGCGTAGGGATCAATCCAGGAACCCTCCCAGCGGAAGATGGCCAGATATATTGCACTCAAAAGGTATTATCTTCATCGGAGTGGAACATTTGATGCAAGTGTTGGATTTGTTGAGGCCTCCTGGGACGGCCATACTGTAGACTATTCTGGTGTTGTTGACGCACCCTTCACCATTGTAGAGGGGTGAGCTGGATGCCTCAAAGGCAACCTTTGCCTTAAAAAAGCAACTTGTGTTCCGCGTTGTGATCCCCTGCGGAGTGGGCTCATCATGAGAGCAGCAGTGTTATCAAAAGTGATGTAAGGCAAGAAAAGGAAGCACGACGAGGCCACAGCTAGCCGTAGCTGCCAGCTGCCGATTGTCACGTTTCCCAAGCTCAACAGCTCACACAACTTACGCGTTTTCGACGCGAAGAGCCCAGCGAACCTCAATGCACCGAAAAGGCAGCAACAAATAAAAAGCCTGCACCATGCAGAACCGTACAGCAGTCGTATGAGACTGATGTCTCCAGGTTCACGTGAGGACAAGTACCCCTTGGGATGTGTGGTGTGGATGCACACCGGTTCAACCTCTGGTGGAGAGGCTGAAGAGTACGGGTAGTTGTCTTGTGTGTCAGGTGGGGAGCAACCTTGTGTTGAAGCAAGGTTCAGCGTCCATCATAAACTGGATCTATCTGTGGCAAAACCCCGAAGGTAGATATCCGACAGGTCATTTCACGTCACAATCTACGACAGTCTGAGGTGGCCTTCACAGTCGTGGGGTTTTAGATTCCGTCGGTCTCCAACAGCCTACGCAGGTTTTTCTGAGTACAGCAGTAGGCAAACATACCTGGCAGAGTATAGAATCGGCTAAGTTGGGGTTAAGCTTAGGGTCTGCGTGCCCCCTGTCTGCTCTTGTTTCGTGATAAACTCGCTTTCTTTGCGTAGGCAGTCCTCATTCTCTCCCAAGGATGCCAGCCCAGCCAAACCACCCAATCGATGCGGGCACACGACCGTGGTTGAACCCGTCGCCCCGGTGTTTTTGGCTCACGCTCAGGACGCAGGCAGGGCACAAACACCACCACACCACATCCATCCCCAGCACCCCCTCCCTCGGCCGGTTTCTCTGCCGTTGTGCAATTCTATATTCTTGCCGTTGTTATGCCACCGCACGCAGGATGTGTGCAAGTTGTCCTGCAATGTGAAGACAACAACAACAACAACAACAACAACAGCTACAAAGAAGTCTTGGGAGGCATCTCATCGGTTTCCGCTGCCGCTTCCCTCGCCCTTTCAATAACGGTTCCTCTGCCATTTCCCTCGCTCTTCCCCACTGTCCTCGTCCTTCCCTACCTCGCCCCTCCCCCAAATAAAAAGGGAAACGTTAAGCATGCGGGTTTACGAGCCAAAGGAGGCGGCGGTGGCAATCTTGGAGCGCCAGCTCGCGTTAAATAGGCGAGAAATTGCTTCGGCACGCGCATCAACCCAGCAGCAGCCTGGCAGCAACGACGTCCTAGGAAGCGCTTCTGCCGGGGGGTTTCCTGGCGGCCACACAAGAGCGACGGAGGAGAAATCGGCTCAGGCGCGAGAGTTGTACAGGTACTTTTTTTGAAGGGGGATCGAATCGATGGCGTACCGGTGGAACACCACGTGAGAGTACCCCAGTCTGAGCTGGTTAGACACCAGCAGGGTACATGCCGCTTGTCGAACCACCGCAAAGGGAGGAGAAACGCGTGACCCTGGGTTGAATAAACGCCTCAGAACACAAGAAAACCCATGGGAAGGTGGATGCTTCGAAGTACTTGCATATGATTAGAACGGCGTTGCTTGGGTCATAAACAAGGGCCATCACAAGTTGGACATTCATACGTAGAAAATTGCGAGTTTGTTGGTTCAGAATCCAGTCAGGTAAGAGGAGAGCTGTCGAGTCTGCTGAGTCAGGACAGGTCAGATCAAGTCAGGTAGGGCCATGCCGTACGTGAGCTGGGGTTTCACCCCGAGTATGCAACGCAACGGATCATTCCTAGACGCAACAGGTTAGGCCGGGTCATGACCCGTGCTGGGTGAAAGCTGACGGGTCAGGTCACGTGTGAACCCGACCTGGCCTGCGACCTGACATACAGTGAAGCGCCGTGCAAATTTCGGGCGACTGCTATAGTCCATTTACAAAAGAAACAGTGCTGTGCGGAAACAACACGACACGGCACGCCTTTCCTTCGCCGGTTGCCGACAGGATGCACAGGCTGCACCTGCTCGAACAACGGAAGCTACGCCAACAACAACGAGAGCTTTCGGGGTCGCAGCAGCAGCAGCAGCAGCAGCAGCAGGAGGAGCAGGAGTCACAACAGCCGCGAAACAGAGTTCTCGACGGCTCGCAGCAGCAGCAGAACGGAGTTCTTGACGGCGCGGCTTTGGTTCGTCTGCTGAACGGGGGTCTGTCGCAGCTGGGGTCGCCAAGCGAGCAACAGCAGCAGCTGCGGCCACGAGAGCAAGAGCATCATCAACAAGAACAGGAGCAGCGAGTGTCGGGGGAAGATCCCGAGGAAGCGTTGGATGATGCGAAGACGAGGTATTCCAACCTTTTCCGATTTTATGCGAGAACTCTAGAGGCTCGCCGCGTGCTGGGCAGCGTGGGGATGTTCCCAGCACGGAGCAGTCCCGATGGCGAGATTTTTCGGCGAAGCTTGCTGCTGCTGTGATGGCGATGGTCGCGCGTTGTGCAGCCTGCCTCGTTAGATATATGCGATACGACTTGGGTGCGTGTTAGGACAGTTCCGTGGGAAATCGGGCCATCTGTGTCTCTGCCGCTGTCTCTCTTTCTCCCTCTCCTTGTCTGTTTCTACAACTCTTTTCTCTTTCTCGTGCCCCGGAAACAATGAAATGCGCCTAGACTCTATGTGGTAGCTGCTAACAACACCCCCCCTCCCCGCCTTGGGTGCACCCCTCGTTTGCCTATTCGTGTGCATTTGTTTTTTTCCGATACGGTGTGTTGTGGCCGGGTTTGCACCCTTTTCGCCGTTGTTCTGGGCGACGCTCTGGTGCTGCTTTGGCCAATGAACAAGGCTTGAGGCAGAGGTGGCGATGTGGAAGGGCAAGGCGGAGACGTCCCTCAAGAGCTACCGCACCCTGCTGCACCAGGCATGTTACGACTGCAATTGTTGTCGTCGAAGGTTGCCTCAAACTAGTGCTGTCATGCGGAGCTTTGTCCAAGGGGTGTCGGTTCTGTAAAAAGACGTTCTTGCTTGGAAGCTCCTCACGGGAATGTTGCTTTTGATAACTTTTTTTTCACGAAGTGTAGGATAGAAGAAGGTAAAACGTACTGAGCGGAGACGGGAACGGTTTTTAATGTGAAGACAACAACAACATTTACAACAACAGTCTACATGCGGTCAACAGAAACCGAACTAACATGTTTTTCTTATTTTTCGAGTGGTGGCGTATCCTCATGCTTCATTGCGGACGAATAGCCGACGGTGTGCTGTTTCACGTCGGATATCCGCTCCATTAAGTGTTCTTTGACGCAGACAACGCGTGTTCTGTGTGCGATGTTCTTCGGCCGGACCATCTGAGTCTTATTTAAAGACGCAACGTCAACGACCGCGTGCTACCAGATGTGTTTTTGTTGTGTCTCCCCCCTGCTGTGCAAGTCCGGCCAAAGCCGGGATTGTGCTTGATGCCTCCGACGTGAGCGTTGCTCTGCGGGCCCCACGCTTGCCGGTTCGCGACAGATTATCGTGTTGATGTTGCTGTAACGAAACTTTTGTATATATGTACGGCGGTAGTGCTCGTGGCTCGCTTCTGGGGCGTCTTTTTCGGAATAGAAAGGTGTTCTGTGAACCGGTCCGTGCGGCTTCTTCTGCGGCAGCTTGTCGCTCACTTAAGCGACGACACAATCATCCCGCGAACGCAAGCGCCTGCATACAGCAGCAGCACCGACGACTCAGATCTGAAGCTCTCCCCTCCTGACACGCTCGTCTGCGACCGATCGTTTTCGGACCTCCGCCCCGTCCGTCCTACCTGTACCGCGATGGTTAATGTGCCGTTACGGCGGCGGGCGCACGCTCACGATGACGGCGGCGGTGTTCTTCTTCTGGTCTTGCCGCGGTGCTATGCCAACACGGCCAGGCTCAGGCAGCACACCGGAAAAACTTTATACAGGTGAGCAAAGTTTTCAGCAAGCGAGCGTGCGCCAGTCCCACAACCAGCAACCCAATCGGGGGTGCGGGAGATGCAATTTGGATGAAATAAGCGAACTGTGTGTACAGTCGTGGGCCCGCGCTTATAGGTCCTACCAACCATCAAGCAGCATTCTGCAGAGCCGCTGGGTACTGCTGCTGTTTTTCTATTCATGCCGCGGTGATTTCACTGGCGCTAATATACCCGGCAGCGCCAGTTTGTTTTTCCAAGACGCACCGCTGCGAGTCTTCCGCTGTGCACAGGCAGAACGGGAACAAGCATGGGTCGTGCGCCTGTACACCGTCGAAACCCTTGAGCACTGACAAGCACGCTGCTGCTCGAATACGATACACGTCAAAAGCAGAGGAGTAGCTGACGTTTTCTTTCGCGGATGTGTCAGTTCCAAAACGTTGCGTAGCGTGGCAAGGGAGGTGGGTTCGGATCGCATTCTCCCATATTTCAACAATAGTCGCAGCTACTAGTCGTGCGCGCTCTGTCCAGCCGGGTTCCTTGCTGTGGCAATTTTGATTCGCCTGGCTATCTTCGAAACGAGAGTGCTTACTCCTATTCAGCAGCTTCTTTTACCTCGTGCACGTTTTCGACTTGGCTAACTTTCGGCAGAGTTTTGTTTCATGGGTCTCAACCTGCTCCACGACTTGCCGTGTTTACGTTACACTTGCTCGACATAAACGTGCATGTCACTCACTAATTCTCGAATTCGGAAGATGCGTGCGTCACCTTGCCCTATGTTGCAGCTCTTGGGTCTCATAGCTGCCGTGTTCTTTCTTCCTGATCCTCGACGTATCAAGGCGGTGGAAAATAACTCGCTGGCGAGCGAACGCGACGAGATGGAGGCGCGGAACGTAGCCGTGGACAAGGAGTTGCAAGAGACCAGAGAGGCGCTAGTAGAGGTCAAGGCGGTGAGAGAGAGAGAAAGAGACAGAGAGAGCGAGAGAAGGGGGGTTTGTGGGGGGGAAGATTGCTCGTCGATACACATAGATCCTGTTCTTGTTTCCGAGCTTCCAGTCTGCATTGCTCCATTTTCTCCGGTATCATCGTGGCCATGGACACCACCACCAACAACTGCTGTGCATCATGCGAGGCCAAACAAATCGCGAAACGAAAACACTCAAACCTCCAAGGTACTCTCAACTCGACCAGTGAGCGGCGTCCCGTGGTGCTGTAGGATCAATCGAACGTCGGAGTGTCGGCATCGTATGATAGATCTAACCATACAGGTGCTCATGTTGTGTACCTTGGAAAAAATGATCTAGCGTGTGCTTTTTTTTCTCCTTGTACCCGGTGCTCCGAAAAAAATACCAGGCACTATAAGAAGCAATTTTTGAGTGCTCCCTCAGATGTATTGGTCGTCCACCAACCCGTTCGTGTGAGTCGCCCCGAGCCACTGCTATGTCCACCACGTGGCGTTGCCGTTGAGGAGAGCGGCTCCGCGTTGGTCTTTGTTGTTACGGGGCAGTCACATCAGCTCCTTTCCTTTTGCTCCGTGTGGAGACGTGTTGATGACGATCTCCGGTGGGTTGTCCGGTTGTTCACCCGGTGTCGACTTGTTTGGTAGCTCTGCTGTTCCGTGTGTGGCATGCACAGTAACCGTCACGAATCGTTTCGCCTATGTGTCCTCCCTCCACTGCATGAAACGCTCCTCTCCCTTCCCGCTCGCCCGCTTCTGCACACGGCATCAGGAGCTCACAACGCTCCAGACCCTGCACGCCAGAAGACACCAGCACGAACAGCAGCAGCAACACGAGCAGGTGCACCTCCAGCGGCAGCAGCAGCAGCGGAGGCGCTCGTCTTCCTCGCTGCACGCTTCTCCTTTTAAGAGTACCCCGGCGTCGGCGCGGCAGCAACGACGGCGGCAGGAAAGACTAACACCGCAAGCCGAGGACCCGAGAATGACAGCAATAACAACAACAACACCGCCCTCCCCTCCACCGTACAACGCCCGGGACAGCGTCGGTGCAGCATCTCTCTTGTCGTCGGGAGCAGCGGCGCGGCGACGACGGCCGGAGACCGCGGGTCCCGTGCCAACGAGAGCACGACCAGCTACAATGTTTGGACGGGTGTCGGCGCCGGCCACAGTCCCGATGGGGACTAGGAGGCAGACGGCGGCGGAGGAGGCGTTTGCGACGGCCGGCGGCGAGGTGGCTTGGAGCGGGAGCGGTGAGGATGTCGCCGTGGGGAGGTGGGGCGGGGACAGGGAGGGGCCCGCGGTGCCGTTGCCGCACGAGCACGGCGTGTCGTACTGCCATCCCCGAGCGTCTTCCGTTGTGGCACTGAGACGGCAGTTGATGGGAGCGGGCGGGGTGCGGAGCAAGAGCAGTCGCGGTGCGGCCACGACCGGCGTGTTTTTGAGGGAGGACGGCTTTCCGGTCGGCGATGAAGTGAGCAGCTTTGGTCGTGAGTTTGTGTGCGTGTTTTTTTTTGTCGAAAGTGCTTTTCATTTGCGTACAGTAGGTGTCATGTGTGTTTTTTTTTTTTTTCGGAAGTTGAGGCCATGGTGGTTGAAGATGTGTCGTGTGGTATTGCCGTGCTAAGAAGGTGCGCGCCGTCAAGCTGTGGTGTGGTGTTCGGTGGCGCTGTTCCTATTGCTGCTGTATTATCTTGTTTCGCTTGCAGGGTTGTATGATGGTTGTGGTTGCGACGAAAGCTCTTGCTCTTTGTGTTACGATGGGCACCACGCTCTTGTGGTACGGCCGAACACTTGGAACTTGTCTGTTTGTTGCTTCATCAGAAACAGGGAGGCGCGTACAACGAGACACCTCCTGCAGTTGTTTCAGTGCTGGTAGTTGCTGTTGATACCGTTGATGTCGATGCCGTAGCTGTTGTTATTCTGCTGTCGTCCCTCTCCTGGCGATAGACCAGACCACCTCTGTCTACGACACAAGTATCCATGTATCGACGGCCGAAGGAAAGGAATTGAGATCCTGCTTGGCACACCCGTTCTTTCTTTTCCACGGGCGGAGCAGGGGCGGCAGGTCGCATATCCCGCAAGCCGCGATGGCGGGTGTGACAAGCGGCAGCAACAGTTGCATCAGCAGCAGCAGCCACGCCACGGCTACCTGCACCAGCGACAGCAACGGCGGCATTCGGACACCGGCATCGAGAACCGTGAGGTAAGCACAAGGGAGAGGCCATCGACGGTGTTTGCATGCTGCAGGAAAAGGTCCCCCCAACCGTGTATCAGGAGCGCTCAAGAGAGGATGTTAGACGTAAGACGATCGAAAGGGGACGTAAGACGATCGAAAGGGGAAAACACACTGTTGAGGCGACCCCGCGGTCTTTTGTTTTGTCGCATGCTATCGAGTCTCGGCCGCCGCAGTTTTCGTGCCTCCTGGCTCCCCATGGTCTTTATCTGCCGCCACACGAGACGTAGCATACACACAACTCGTGGGGGGGATGGCGTTGCTTCAATTTGTGAGGAGAAGTAACCGAAAAGCAAATCGGTGGCAAGTTTACATGTGATCGGTGAAGATTCCAACGGCCGCTGCAGATTTTTTTGTGGTCGATGACTCGGGTTTCTTCGAAATGATCGACTGCAGTGCAACAAGTCGGACATCCAAAACAGTCGTCCTAAGGTGAGACGGTAAAAAACAAAAAACGGACAACCAAAAAAAGGATTGTGTTAGAATCGACCTGTGAGCACCCTCCAGCAAAGGATCTTTCCTTCGCCGGGAGACGGGACTCTATTTTCGTACATGCTTACGGTTCCGTCTCTTGCGGGTAAAAAAAATCAGGTGTGCTTTTTCAGTGTTGCGTCCAACGTCTTGTTGATTCGCCGGGTCTTCCGTCTCTCCATCCCTCTTTTTTCCCGTTTCTTTTTCGTAAGCTCTGGCAAGAAGGTTCGGAAGAACGTCGGCCCTACGGGTGGTGATAATCCTGCGTTCCGAGGAAATTCCGCTACGCTTCAGACGTACACGTATTTGTGACCCCTCAAGGGAAAAGCGTTGAGGTCACCAAGGGCGATCGAAACGGCGACACACAGGCTGCAGCAGCGATTCTGAGGGGCAAAGATACGGCAGCAGCTGAACATCAAGGCGCGGCGACAGCCGTGCTACCAAGCCTGGACAGTTTTGTGTCGGTTGGGGTACCAACCGCTTACGAGGCAGCATGATAGGGTTAGGGGGAGGGAGCACCATCAACGTCGGTAGCGGGAACAACGGTAGTGGCAGAGGTTAGCGGGAACAACAGTAGTGTGGCAGAGATTACGAACGACTGCTGTGATGTGCGAGGTAAGCACGTGAACAGCCGCGCGACGCATTCTAGGGGGGGGGCTCCGGGATGCCACTGTTCCAAAAGGATGCGGAGCGCTTTAATACCGAAGCGCAGCGGAGCAAGCGGAGCGTTTGCCGGTGTAGACTTTTAGACTTGCCCCCCCCCCCGCTCGCCCTCTATTCCTGACTGTTGCTGAGCAACAATTGAGTAGTATCGGGGCTGATTTCTTGGAAGCATTTGCGAGGTGCCAGCGAGTAGAATGGGTTCCCGCCGGAAATACCCCTTTCCGCCCGACATTCAGGGTTGGAAGTATAGCATGGCTGCGGTGCACCGCATAGTGTCCTCAGGAGGGAGAGTTCGTGAGAGGCAAACGTTACTTTTGTGTATTTTTGAAAGCTCGAGGGAACATGTCAGCTTTGTGTTTTCTTTTTACATGCTGTGTGTTTTTTGGTTATTTGTCGGTAATACAGTGTGATACAACATGGTATGTACGTTTGCCGCAGATTACGCTTGCTGATCAGCGACGTCTAGGGCTACTGTGCCGCGGGGGCACATGCCCCATGCCCACCAGTCCTGCCGGTTAGCGACCTTAGCGTGATTGCATTGCGTGGTGGTAGTTTTGAAAGAGCAAGGTATGCGTAGGGGCTGTCAGTTTCAGCCATTTTTTCGGTGTTCGCAGTTGTTAAAGACGACATTAAAGTAATGCCCGCAGGTTGAAGACATTTACTAGAAAACAACATATCCCTTGCGGTGGACATCCTGAGCAATGGTCAAGGCTAGGGCTATGTGCTCGCGAAGGCCGAATCCCCAGCAAATCCAAACAATGCTATCTTATCTAATGAGATCAACGCCACAGTTGGGCAAATACGATCTTGCTACTCAGGTATCCACCAAACAAGCGGCCCCCCTATGGTACAGAGCAAGCGACCTGACTGGCGGGAAGGGAGTCTGCGGCCACACCCTGCCAAAATCTGCTGCCAATCCGAGTGTGGCGTTTGTTTCACCGGAAAGTGTAATGAATAGCTCTCGCGCGTGTTTTCGGTTCGGCGCGTTGGCGGGGTGGTGCTTCACGAACGTCACGAATATGCTGCACAACTAAGCGATTCGGTGGTTTTAAGCCGCACGCACACCGTCCACTGGCATTCGGAGAAAGTTAGCTCACTGCAAGCACCTTCATTAACCGCGCCACCCAACAAACCAACCTTTGGCCACTTACAGCTAAAATGACAGGAAAACCTATCTCCAGCGATGAGTATACAAGACGGCCATCGTCCCAACACAGAAAGGTTTTGGTCGCAACAACGTACGGGGTTGCAGATCCTTCCAAGCAACTGCCCCAGCTTCGACAAATAAAATATCGCGCTGCCAACTGCTAACCTCAATTTGTGATTAAAATTTGGTATATTTTACTTTTACATTGTGGGGTGGAGGTTTGACCGGGGCTATCCCTCTCCCCTCTGCAGGAAAACCTAGCGACTACGTCTCACAGTCATTCGTACGTGCCAAGTAGGAACGAAAACAAACTGCTTTCCCGTTGCTGTCGTTTTGCCACTCACACAAACATCACCACCGCACAATCTGTACAACCAGAACAGTTCACCACGGAAGCACACGCATTTTGGTACCATGTTACCATGGTACTGCTCGTTGTGCCACAACATCAAACAAAGGCCTCGGTATTCACACGTCTCTGAGCGCTCCTTTCCACGGCACCGCCGCAACCGCAGGGAAAAAACACATTTTCCGCGAGCGGAGCGTTCAGATCACCTCAGCAAGGCGTAGGGCCTTCCGGACCAAAATCCCGACGATCGCGAGGGCGATAGCAACCGCGACAAACGAAAGCACGTCGTCCTCCCGCCCAAGGTATTCTTCCCTCGACTCCTGCTTCTGCTGCTGCCCCCCGTCCCCCTCGACCTCGCTCGTACCCCTGGCGTTGGCATGGGCCGGCGTCGGACCGCCCCTTCCCTCCGCCGGCCCCCCGCCCACGCTCCGGAGCCGAGGACTTGACGGAGCCGTTGTCGCCGTCGTCTTCGAAATGGCACCGATTCCACCGCATTTTTTGCCGGAGGCTTGCGCTATCACCTCCGCCTCTTTTTTCGTAGAACCAATCTTTCCGCTGGGAGACTCGCTGCCGGTAGTGCCAGGATCACGGTCATCACTAGCCGCTGCAGCAGCAGCGGCAGTGACTGGAGACTCTGCGGCTACCTCGTCAGCAGTCTTTGCCTTGAGCTTGTGCAGCTCTTTGATCTGGTCCGCGTAGATGCTGCGGCTGCTCGCGCCGCCGCTCTCGCCCTTGGGCCGGAGCTCGGGGAGGAGGTCGGCGACTACCCCGCACTTGTAGCACTTCCACTGTCTCGACTCCACGGCTAATCGCCTGAAACACATCCGCCAATTCGGTTGCAACGCGCGTTATAAACCGGATATATCATGTGTTCCGTACAGTGTATGCCACTTCAGCACGGCCGAAGGAGGGGGGGGGCTGCGGCGGAGGGGGCCGATGCATTGGGGTGATGAACGAACTAGCGGAAGGTGCTAGACTTGCCCCCATGGGACGACATCACGCACGACGGTAATCCCACACCACACCGGTACTTGGAAGCCAGCACGCGGATAGCGTGCGTCGACGCGGCGAAGAACAGCACCACGTACAAGCAGCGCACGCCCTGGATGATCAAAGAAGAAGGAAGCCTACAACCAAGTACATTCCCACGGGCCCGAGAGGGACAGCCTTTACTCGTACCCTGTTTGTTGTGAAGAGGTATTTTTCGGCCGTGACATATCCATGTCCCAACACAAATAAGGCGAAACCGACAGCAGTCCGGTTGGAGAGAGTCAAATGCTTTCCAACAACCAAGGTCTTAGGTACTCTTGCATCATGTCATGCATCATGCAAGAGCCTCTACTCTTGCATCATATCACGCACGAGCCTCTCATCCGCTCTCAAACGCAACGCAAGACGCCGGTCGTGTGATGAGACAACTTCTAGACTCACTTGCGCTCCCCCGCGGACCAGTCCAACCCCCCCAAAGCACCGTGCGAGGGCGAGGGGAAGAAGCTAATCAACGCCTCCAAGATGAGGCGGATACCCCATGCCGGCTGCGGCGAAAACATTCAACGGTGAAGAGAAATCGGAGCAGGCTCGGTCATCGTCTTTGATGTATAACGGCACGAGAGACGTCCATTTTCACTGCCCTTCGCCGGGTTGGGAAAGTTGCGCGCACGACTGCAGCTGTACTTCTTCGTAGTTGCTCTTGCTATTGGATGCGCTCGAAGATTAAGAATTGTCGCAAGATGGAATGTTGGAGGTGTACCTAAAAGTGTTTGGCGCCGTTGATCCCCACGCCCAAAAACGCGGAGGAACCGAACGCCGTCCGTTCTTTACGCACCATATTTCGTTGTTGGAACAATCGCAATGTATGGCTACTTCTCTGCACCATGAGATTGAGGGCGTACTCCTCGCCTGCATACGGGTGCGTCCTCGGTCAGTGCAGTACTAGGGAATAATGAGACATCCTTGGCATCTACACCTTCCCATTCTCATGGGGAGGCAACCTTGTAGACCTATATAGAGCCTGCAGGTAGATGCTTCAGAATCGGTCTGTAACAAGGCAACAAACTCAGCGACATACAACCCCAACAGTCTATCTCTTGCAAAGTCGTCTCAAAATCACTACTGCTGTCGCAGACCTGCCAGTACTCAGGATGGTAAGACGAGATCGTCAAGCAGATCTTCATGCCTGTGCTGAACCTCCCGTTGGGTGTGTTGAACATGATGTCCGGCGGCCGGAAGGGGTACTCCGGCGGGAGGATGATTCGGCCGTGGTAAACCCCTCCCTGGAACTCTGTGTCGGGCGGGCCCCTTATGGTGAAGTGCCACTCGAACAGGTTGGACTCAAGGGGCGCGGCGTGGTACTGGTCGGAAGGGTCCTTCATAAGCTCCCGCACGTCGGCGTGTATACGCTTGATGGCCGGGTTCTTGATATTCACCGGCATCTTTCACAACCTCGCTCCGCTGCTTGCTGCTGCCGACAGAGAACCGTGTGTTGAAAAAGTGTCCGCTCGTGTCTACTAGGTCAACCGGACTCGCGTTCGTCGAGTGCGAAGGCTGACGGCGTATCGTGATGGTCGAGACTAGTTTCGCCGAATGAGAGGCCTATGCTCCTGATGGTGTCCTTCTAGGCCTGTGTGGAACTCGCCACGTGGAAGGTGGTCTTTGGGTGCGGCGGAAAGAAACTACTAGTGGGAGGCTCGACAGAAAATACAAGTGCTGTAAAACGGGGTGGGTGGAAACACTGGTTTGATGTTGCGGCGCCCCCTTCTCTGGAGATCGAGCTGTGCAGCAACACCTTGTTCGGGCTTGCTACTATACCCTGGAGAGTGCTGTCGTGGCTTACAATCCCAGCTGGGAGGACGAGAGAAAGTGCGCACGGGTTTTTCATAGAGGGCCTGTTGGACAGGCATCTGCAATCAGGCGCTCTCGGTATTTCCTGAGAGAGACAACCGAGGGATTGGATTTGGGTCTCTCCTTTGCAGCGAGGACGTGGTTGTGCGCACGAAGAACAGCGTCAAGCATGGACTATATCGAGCAGCAAGCGCTGCAATATCCGGACATGGCCGACAAGTATAACAAGCTCGGGGATTTGTTCAGCAGGAAGTGAGTTTGTGGACAAGAAATTCTCTCAAATCTGGTCTTCTTCTCAATGAGCTGCTAGCTCTCTGTGTCGGTAGATAGCACTCCCTCCCTGCGTGAAGCAGTACCGAAGAACAAAGGCTGCTGACAGGCTTCATCCGGGCGATGGGCTGGCCGTAACGCGTAATGCATGGATGCCTTGCAAGGCAGAACTGTGCACTCCTGTACTCGGTCGGTAAGCAACAGTCTGCGTGATAGTCTAGAGTCGAGGCCACGCCAAGCAGCAATGGCGACTGCCTGATGTAGGTGTCCGCAAGAATGTGAGGGGTGTGGCCTGTTTCTCCTGGAGTGGCAGCTATGGATGTCGAAGCCAAGACCCTCCATCTCCTTGCCGTGGCCCGCAAGACCAAGGCAACCGTGAAACAGGGCCGCCATGGGTCGGATGCTACAGGCGCAGCAGCATGGCTGTCAGGCCCTGCCCCCCCCCCCCCCCCCCCCNTATCCCGCAATATCTAACAGCAGCGCTAGCCGATGACCCTCCGGCCGAAGCATCAGCATGAGGCACGAGATTCCGATCGTGCCCCCCTGAGTCGTTGCCGTACTCTCTTAAATAGGTTAGGGGGCGATAAACGCTTTGGCTGGCGGCAGATGCGCGGCCTTCTGCTTGCGTGGCGTGCTAAGCTTATCATGTCTGCTCCCTTCTTGGCCACCGGGCTTGGAGGCAACACTCATCATCATGAAAACCCGGTCGCTTACAGCAGTAATGGTGAAAACCACGCCGAAGATGCCCTCCACATGGACGGATCCGTTACGTGGAACGTTCAAACTCGCTAGACTTTTGTGTCGATTATTTCGCTTGTTGGTGCTCTCGGACTTGCCTGCTGCCTGGGGGTTGAAAAGTCATCAGCCATCATTTTCACCGCTTTCTCCGATTCAAGCGGCGCAAGACGCGGAGTCTCGACTGAAGCGTATTACTAACCTTTGTGTTGGATCGCGCGCGGTTTGCTTTCTGCGACTCTTTCTCCGGGATTTCGGCTCGAGTAACACTGGTATCTTTGTGTAGGATCACGTGCGCTTTGCTTTCGGCCACTCTCTCTCTCTTTCGGCAGATTAACCCTGGTCCCTTCGTTTTTGTGATGGTTCGCGTGCGGTTTGCTTTCTGCCACTCTCTCGTTCCTTATGGGGGTTTCCCTGCGATCGAAGGCTGTGGCATCAGCTGACGGTCGCCCTGCTGGAGTTCGTTTCGGACCCGGCGAACGCGGAAGCGGGGGGCGGTCTGGTGCGGCTGTGCACGGAGTTCGTGGCAAACTTCGAGGCGAAGATGAACCAGCTTCGATTCGTGCAGATCCTCTGCGCCGTGGGGAAGACGTGCTCAGGTGCAGGGTGCCGTGTATATGTTTTGGGACAAAATCTCGCCCCTGTCTGGTTGTGTGTATTATTGTGTAACGAAATCCTCGGCTTGGGACTCCAGCCCCGCGGTTGGTCCTGAACTGGCTGAATTCGCAACAACTGTCAAGTCAGACAGCAGTACGAACGAAGAGAGCGACCTTCCTAGACACGTATCCCACGAAGCACGTTCTCAAACGCTCGTTGTTGCGCTTGCGACGCCCCGCCCTTGGTGTTGAGAAACTCGACTGTGAACTGATTGCTCTGGGCAAGTGGGGGCGTGGGGGATTTCAAAGGGAAAGATAAACGTGCGAGGTTAGGTCCTTTGCTGAGTTGGCATGTGTGTTCGGTCGCCGCGCTGTATGTCTTGGGGTGGGTACGAGGAATTTGTGCTGTTAAACACGATTGGGTTTTATTGTCCCCTTGGGGGAGGTGTTGCCCTGGTCCTCGCAAAACGTAAGTCAGGCTTGCACGCGCGTTGAATTGGGAGGAGGTACCCTTGCGTTCAGCCTCCCATCCGTGCCCTCCCCCCGGCCAGGGATCACTGCGAGTTCCACAGCGTCTGGTCCCACTTACGCTGGCGTTTTTTCGTGGGGAATGTTTGTACCTGGTTCACGCTACAGCAGCAGTATCGGTGGAACTCACAAGGACGCGTGCACGCGGTTGTTAAGATATTGGCCTTGCCCTTCACGTTCGTCCCTGTTTTGACCGACGTATTTTCCGTGGGCCTTGCTCGTTAGCGGACCGTCGACACGAGACACACAAACGAATCAACACACACGCGCGTGTGTGCGCGTGGTGTTGCGTATGAAGAACGGCTTATCTTCGGCTGGTTCCATCCCTTAGCCGAGGTTGGGCAACCCCTGCTCCCACCAAAAAACCTCGTTCTTTATTTCCTCGGCTCTCTGCGGTCAAACATCTCGACCGCCACGAGCCCTCCCCTGTATCCCCCCGCTCCCCCTACCCGCTCACCAAGCTCCTCCTCCCCGCCGCTCCGCTTATATACGTGTGTGTGCGTGCGACAACAACAACGGTCACGACGACCGCACCACCGTACGCGAACTTTCCTCGGGTGCACCGCTCGGCGACCCTCTGTGCGGCACACGGAATTCGCGAAACTCGGAACAAAAATAAATAAATAAATATATTCTTGCCGGAAATCGTGAGCAGACCCTTTGGTGGCGACGCAGCTGTTCGAGACGGCGCTAGAGAAGCGGGAACGGCTTGGGCCCGAGGCTTCGCTGCTCTTGGAGAGCGAGCTGGGGTTGCTGGTGCTGCGGGCAGGGAAGGTGGCGGAGGCGAAGGAGGTGGTGGAGAAAGGGAAGGTTGCAGTCGAAGAGTTGGAGGTGTGTATTTAACACCTGCTACCGTTTCTGTTCCTTAATCGGAAGAAATAGCCTAGCCTTCCCCATGAAAACCCTTGACAAAGATCAGTAGAAGTGCGCTGCGGGTAAGAGTGACTGGGGGCGTGTCTTTCTCTGATGTTTTTGCCTTCGGTGGTTTGTTTGTTGGCATGGACCGCGTTAGACCCGGCCTGTCGATAATAAGGCGTCCGTCCCAGGGAGAGAAAATGGCACTTGTGTTTGTTGGGGGTCGTTGACCTGGCAATTATCAACACCCGCTTCTGTGCACCACTCTCGGAAGGGCGTGAGACGAAGTCGCTGTCAGTTCTCCGTTTGTCAGCAAAATTCACACTACTCGCTTAAAATTATAGGGCCCACTCGGATACCAACGTGATTGTCCAATGGTCCAGTGTATCATTGATGTCGCTGCCACCATTCGGACTAGCCTCGTCAGCCTATCTCTGCAACAACCGACAACATCGGTAACACTCCCTTGTCCCAGCAATCAACCGATATGCCCCTTACGGGATGCCGTGTTCACACGCATCTCCACTTCTCCCAACCCGACCCCCCCTTTGGCCGGGAGAGTCAAGGCCAGCAAATACTAGTCGCGAGCCCCCAACCCATACCCACTCTGCGGTACCTCGAATTCCTTCCTTTCCAGTCGGCGGAGACGGCAGTTCACTCTGCGTACTACCGCCTGTCCTCGGAGTACTACAAGACGGTGGGGCCGCCGGACGCCTTCTACCGCAGCGCGCTCATGTTCCTGGCCTACACACCTCTTGAGGGCATCCCGCAGGCGGAGCGCTACACGCTGGCGACGGACATCAGCCTCGCCGCGCTCACCGGGGAAGGCGTTTTCAACTTCGGGGAAGTGGTGCGTTGGTGGTGGGAGGGAGGGGGACTCATGGCCGCGCATGCCGTGCAGTAGTCTTTAGACCATTGACCTCGCATTCCTGCGAAGGTGGGACAGAGCACGCCGGGCTTTCTCCGGACCAGGCTATCACATCACCAAGCGCGAACGGGGGGCGGTGGTGGGGGGGTTACTCATGTTTTGTATGCCTGAGCGGTTAGACCATTGACCACGCGTCTTTGAGAGAACGGAGTATTGTTCTCAAAGGACAGATCGCTGATGGCCGATCGCACCTTTTGCTAAAGGTGGCGATGGTTGTGAGTGCTTGCGAGGGAAGGGAAAAAGTGGGTGCTTTGTAGTGACGTGGGGTCTCATTTTCAACTTTCGGGAATATTCTATGTCTAAGTTATGGTACAGGCTGCGAAGCCGCCCGTTGTATTCGTGGACGGAGAGCGAATTGCTGTTCTTGTGTCGGCCGGGCCGGTGGGCGGTGCTGGCACGTGGGGGGGCTGTTGTGCAGGCGGGAAGAAATTCCACGTTCTCTGCATACCTTGGGTTTTGGGGTTTGTGCAGCGCTTCGATGGATGATTGGCGAACCCGTTTCCTCCTCCCCCCCCGGCGCGCACCCTCTTCTTTCACCAGCTGGCAACACCAATCCTGAGCATGCTGGATGGGAGCCCAAACGCCTGGTTAGGGAGCATGATGCAGGCCTTCAACATGGGCGATATCGACGCCTTCAACAAGCTGTGCGCGGAGAACCAGGAGGTGCGTGAGAGAGACAACACTAAACATATGTTGCGCTTTATTAAACGTTAATTGCTCAGGTGGCTACTGTTGTTTTGAGTAGTCGGCGCCAGTGACGTGCTGAGCATGCGAGAGTCACGACCCGCCCGCCAACATGGTGATTCAAAGCTCTCCGCTCCTCCAGGCGATGTATTGCCAACAACTTTTCACCCCCCCAAAGGATGAGTTGGTACACGGAACGGGTTGTTG